GGGGGGTCGTCGGTCAAGTCTACATTTCTCATCACCCATGACAGCATCCCAGACTCCAAGCTGTAAGCTTTCACAGGTTGTCTCTACTGTTGATGTCTTGCTGTGGTGCAGAGGAACTAAGGCCTCTCTCTACCCAAGCAAAAAGCACTCAAAGTTCCAATTCCTTCTTGTGCATTTTACCTAGTGGACAACAAAATATGTTGGCCTGAACCCAGATCTCTCCCTTCTCTCCCCTGCCCCAACCCCCTGCAAAGGCATTTCTCCATCACTGTGTGGGACTGGGGAGCAGGGAGAGAGAAAGAAAGGAGTCATGTTCTTCAATTCCTTTTGTGGTTCTGGGCCGCGGTAACTTCATTTAAAACTGACTGTGCCACTCCAGTAGAGCAAAACACATTGTTCCACTAAACTAAATTACTTTAAATATAAGAAAACTAAACTTCCTTTTTGATTTCTAATACATGCTTGCTACACTGACAGCATCTATCTGAATAAATATACTTTCAAGGGGAAAGAATCCTGCCTCACCTACTCTGAGTGAAGCAAGTGTACAGAGGAGCTCCACAGATATTGCAAATCTCTGCAGGATACCCACATGAGGATTTTGTGCAGGGGATCTGTTCACTGTGAGCCAATGGGCTGACTGACCCACCTGGTTCGGCCTCCCAATGCTATGTTCAATTACTTTGAATAACTTGGTAAAATGATGACTCTGCTACTTTGTGCACCTTCAAGAGGGTAAGTGAATTTGCCCTAGTTTTTTTGCAGTGTAAGATTGACTAAAATAGCTGCATGGACTGAATCCAGGAGGCCTCACTGATGTGAATGAATAAGGCTTGAAGCTGCAGAATTTCAATCCAAAATTGTTCTTTATGTGCACAGTAAGCAATAGTGAATCTGTGCGGTAACCAAAGAGTATGTGCCATCCTGATCTCTGTAACTATTTCACAAGAACTATTTCAAAAGGAAAAAGAAAAGCTAAAACAGAGGACCCAGGACCCATACTAATGCAACACTCTGAGAATGTAAGTAGACTGAAAAACAACCATGCCAGCACAGTACTAAAATGACCCTAAATACAATACTTAATAGTTCCCAAAGAAGTCACAGCCCATGAAATTCAGAGGACCACTGAATTACCTTGAACTAGAAACAACCAATTTGAAGGGAAGGAAAGGGTGTGTGGGGGGGAGGGGGGATAGAGGTTATTTCAATTTATTTAAAAAACTAAAGCCATGTTGACCCTTTCAAAGATACAGATTCATCTCTCAGAGTTGTATGGATTCTTTCCCTTGCAACAGGAATAGGCTGGTGGAGGGCTGGGTGGGGTGAGAATGAACTAAATCAGTTGCTGTGGGAGCTATAACTTTTCTGCAGATTTAAAATCTCAGCGACAGCATTGCAAACGTACAGCTTAATTGTAATCATTTCTACAGGCTATTCCTCACCCTTCCATTTTCTTTGATTTTGCTCTAATATAGTAAAATATAGGGCAAAATCATGGTCTTCCAGGTTTATTTCTTCAGTATGTCTTCAATCTTTCTACCTACAATGACAGTGTATGTAAAGTGTCCCTAAATTATTAACTGTTATGCACACAGCAAGAGAATAAAGTTTAAAATTAGAAGCAGTATGTTTCAGCAAGATGGTTAATGACAGACAGACTGAATGATAATTTATCTGTTTTCAATATTTTGTCAGCTCCAGAAACTGTTGGAATGATTAGCAGTCAATTAAACTAAAAACACTTAAAAATCCAGTATTAGCAAGGAGCCTAGACACTGCAAATACAAACAGCACTAAGAAAAATATAAATTGCTTTAGATTAAAATTTAGATTAGTGAGTTCTATATCTTGACAATTTAAATTAGTAAATACTGAACAAAGCAAGATACAACATTCAAGATTAGAATTTCTGGTTAAGAAGCTCTCACAAGTAACTTCTACAGCTGCAGACTAGTATCTTGAAAAATCACCATTCAATTACCCATTTTTAATGGTGAAACTTAGTTAAAACAGGTGCAGATATGTATATGGCTTTTTGCAGGTGCAGCTCAAAGTCAATTGATTCATCCTTAATGAAATTTCTCTAAAATAAATATCATTTAAATTTTCAGGACAAGTTACATTATAAAAAATACAATCGTTTAGTTAAATACAGAAGCTTAGCCATTAGTGCGTGTTTATATTTACAAATGCTTATTCCTTTCTGCAAGCCAACTATTTGGGAGTTAGTTTGTGCAGTGCAAATGGATTTGTCTAGATGCATCCCTGATTATAGTGTGCAGATACCTTTTGTGTTTCTTTCTAAATTTTTCTTCTTCATACCTTGGTGGGGAAAAGTTTGATTTCAGTAAATGCAAAATATGAAGCCAACTAAACACAACAAGTTGCAAATTAATAGTACCAATATTTAAGTGTTCCTCATGAATATCAAATCTTGAAACCAGCATAGTTCAGAATACAGAAATATTATCTAGCTTTAAACAGTAATAGGAGATTTAACTGCTATTTGCTAAAAGATCATCAACACTACAATGTTAAAAATCAGGAGAGATGAACTAAGTTTCCACTAGAAAATCTAAGGACTGTATAACCCAATTTTGAAAAATTCAAAAGTACTTGGATTTAACACTGAGGCGCCATTCAATCCACTATGGAACTCTGGCAGACACCCGATTGTGTAGGCCAGCAAGTTAAGTTTCTTTCGAAAAATCAGTGCTTGATTAATATTTCAGCAGGCTGTATCACAGCTGTTTTATCAAAGTTGTTTACCAGCAGCCAGACCGTCTTCCCAATCTACCCAGAGTCTTACTGTTCCTTCAAATTCCCTTTCTGAAGGGAATTGTTCTAGGCAGGTGGTCAGATTTACTAACCTGGGTTACTTTTTTTTATTTTTTTGCCGAAAGCTGTATTTGTTTTGCATTTGTTTTTACATTCACTTTTGCAACTTGAATCAGTTGATTATTTATCCCACCAAATGTTTTGCAGTAGGAACAGAAGCCCTTATGACCACAAGAAAGGTATTAAAAAAAATAATAAATCTCGCCTTACGTGGCTCTCAGCTCACACTAAGAGCAATGCTGCCATTACATTCTTACCAAATTAAAAGGAAGAGCACCCTGCCACTGTGATTGTTCCTTGTGGGTTCTTTATATTAACTGCCATCAGTGTATCAGCTACAAAAGTTGCTACTAGGTGTTTTTAGGATCCTCAGCATTGTTGCTCAATATTTTAGTCCTGCATTTTGAGCATCATGCTGCTTAGTACCTATAGCCACAGATAACCTACTTAGCATTTCTATCATCATACCCAAGGCTGTGCTTTTGTTATGGTGGGCCACTGTGCACTCCCTTGACATCTCAGTTTTCTTTAGAAAGTGCAGGGATGAAAAGGACCTGAACACTGCCCAGCCCTCCATTTAGTTTTAAAACCACCATTAGATCTACCTCTCTCCTCCATCTCCTCTTAATTTAAAATGGAATTCTCAATTGTTGGAATGATACTTCATTGTTTACTTTTTGTGAGCATTTGTCATACTATCAACTTAATTTAATGCCCATGAATAAGAACAGTGTCAGTGAGACCTTGTCTCCAAAACACTGGTTCTCACTCAATATAATTTAGAATAACCAAATCACAGAACTGTGTATTAACGATCTGGCTAGCATTATATTGCTGCATACACAATTTTAACATCATCCTCAAGCATGACATCTTTCCTCAGCATACCAAACTTCATTAAAAACAAGTTTGCAAAATACAAACCCAAACAGTAATATTTTTTACACATTTGCATTCTATACTGACCGCAATTTAGCATGTTTGCATAATGAAACGTACTGTTTTATGCATTCTGGTATGACAACGTATTCCATGGGGATGAGTTCAGCTAGCTCTGCCAGGGTAAAGACATACCTAATTTTTTGGCTGAATTTTGAGCTGTGGAAGAACAAATGTAAAGTACAGTTACTATTTAAAGTATTGGATACATCACTCAATATTAAGTAAAACTTTCTGAAATGTAACACACACACACAGATACTTTCTGTAAATAACACAAATTTCAACAATATTACCTAATGAAAGGTTTTGTGATGGCCAGAAGTGTTCTGATAAACCAGGAAGGATGAACTATTATTAGTGATTTCAGGTTTTTCCTTAACCTAAAGATTGGACATCAGTGTTAGAAAAGTAGTGAAAAACAGCAAAAACATCATTTCTACTAATCAAATACTACTGCTGTCTGGCATGTACAGTCTAATGAGTAAACCTCTATTAGAAAAATGTCAATCTACCTAGAGGATAAAATTAACAAAGCAGGTCATGCTGAATGTAAAATTTTGAACTGCTAGCTTTGGAAGTCGTTAAACCTTTCTGATAAAATAGCTGGAACAATACATTTCTACCACTTAAGGGGCAACATAGGAAACTCTTATTTCTACATATTTTATCAACTGTTCACATAAAAGAAGAAAGTGTACAATTCCCTCGACAAATGAGGTATATGTACAATAGGAGAGAAAAGCCTCCTTCAACTGGGATCTTACAGATACTTTTTTTTCTAGGGAAAAAAAGACACCTAACCACGACTACTTGTATTTGAAGTCTTTCATCCAAAGCAAAGTGGCATATTCACAGTCGTATGAAACTGGTTCTTCAGCCAAAAAAGAAACTTCAAATCCATATTCTCTGTATATCGCATGACTACAAAAATCCCACATTTTTTCCTCACTTTCATGCCTATTCACTGGCCAAATGAGCAAACCACTGATTGTGACAGCATTGTAAACACATTGTAAACACTCGTAATTCTAGGTAAACTAAGAGGCAATTTCGCTGCTTCTCATCATACACAAGAGAATTGCTACACATAGCCTTCCATTTAACTCCTCTGAATGTTTATGCAGTTTTGATACTGACCTGCCCAGAAAAGTACCTGCTTTAAAGCTCAAGTTAAAACAAAACCATATTGTACTACTGTATGAAGAAGTCATAATGGATCTTCCATAGCAAGTGTCCTGTTATGGCTCATCAACAACATCTCCAACCCCAACACACTACTTTTCCACTACTGTCACTTGAAGGGGGGGGGCGGGGGATCTCTAGTATGTTTTTTTGTTTGTTTTTTCCTTTTCTTTTTTTTAACTTGGGGCTTCAGTGTCTAAATCATAAGCCATAAAACACCTGCTGGAAGCTGCCTAAATTCATACTATGTTAATTAGAAATTCTGAAAAAGAATATACAACCAAGAAATGTAGAGATATTTTGACATTAAGAAATTTTTTACCTTCTGTCAATTTGCTGGTAACATTTCCTGAGCCAGCCTAAGCTTGGCATTTTTCTCCGCGTTGTAGCACCATTTAAGTAAACTATCATATAGTTCTCTGCTACTAATAATTCTAAAGTGCCAATAACATACCTGCAGAGATAAAGGAGAAAGCCTTCAAATCACATTGTGGATGACTTAACTTATATATAGAAGACAACCTGACCTTTGGTAAGAGTTTTAAAGAAATGTTGTTCACAGAATTAAAGTTTTAGTTTAAAAACTCTTAAAAGTGGTCATATCTAAATTTAATATTTTAATTAGATATGCTGCTTCTCAAATATAAAATATTGTATAAAAGACGACAGAATGTGAGTAGTTCTTTGAGGAGAAAAACTCTGACAGTAGAGTTTCATTAAGAACAGTTTTTTAATGACTAAAAAAATATTACTTACTTAAACAGATTGTCCATTAGATATCTGTAGTCTGGCTGACTGCTTTCAGGCATAAAGCAGACAGCGAACACAACAATGGCATTTAACCCATCACCATAATAACCTAGGAAAAGCAAACAAAAATACAGCAGCAATAAGAATTGACATCTTATTGTTGTCTGATCAATGTCATATAAAAGACACTTACTGTGCTCTCTTCTTCTCTATTTCAAAGTGCTTTACAAAGGTGAGAAAACATCCCATTTTATATGGGGGTCAAAATATAGGCACAGAAAGGCTCAAGAGACATTTCTTTAAAAGATCTGCTTTGTTACCTATTGTTACAAAGAATAGCCGAAATTAAAAAAAAAAATGAAATAAAAGCCCCTCTCTAAACTCTGTGCTTTAGCATTTTTAATTTATTTATGCATCTAACAGCATTTTGCATGGTCAATTTTCCCCTCTTAAAATGGTTCCATACACATAGAAAGGAAAAAGAAAACACATTAACCAGTCTGCTAGGGAATCTAAAAGATTTTGCACACACTGTATATGTACACAGAGTATACTCAATCTACCAAGACAACCCCAAACAGTGAAATGTACCCAGACAGTTATGATATTCTCTTAAAGTAACTTAACTTTTTCCAACATCTTGTGGAGTCTTTTCCCCTTAGTGTAAGGTAATGAGCCATGATGAAGACTGTACTTTATAGATTTTTGTTGTGCTTTTTTAATGTCTTCTTACCGCAGGTCATAATGGAGCCATCCTCCAAAGAACCTTAAGCCTTTTGCACCTAAAATGATTCCTTCCCTTCCTGTTCACTTGCACGTTAGATGCTAACAACTCCCAAGAACATCATTATTACTTACCTCCATGACTGATAACTTTTTTATAGGGTTCAATTGCCTTCATGTCCACCCGATGGTCCTGTTCTCCAATTCTAAACATACGCCAGCGTCGCCCATCTTCTCTCTCTTCTGCTGCAGTATATTCAGAAAGTGATCCTCTCCTAATTACTTCAGTAGTTTTTGGTTTTGGAAGATCATCTGCCAAAATTAAAACATGTTAAAGACCATTGTGATTATATGTGGCTGTATCTAATCCGATTATGAGTTAACCACTTTATTATCTGCTTAGACTATTACAATTTTCTCTGGTACTGGACAGAGGGAGTAACAAACTTGTATCAGGCACTCCAAGATGTTGATAAATGAAACTATACTGTATTCTTGCATGAAGTGGTCACAGTACCTTTCCTACATCAGCATAGCATCTCAGCCTTCATATGAATGCACAGATTCTCTTGACTGTATTTTATTATGAAGGGTCTAGCTACTTATAAATTTCTGGCTACACAGGAGGCCTTTTGGCAAATATACTTATTGTTTTAAACATTCATTCCCATAAATACCATCAAAATAGATAGAAAGTGGTTAACTTCAATGATTGTATTTTGTTTAATCAGATTTACAGTGAAGCAACTTACACATTGATAATATTTGGCAAGCATACATGCAGACAAATTTATGAGGAATTAAAGCCAATTCACATATGCAAAAAAAAAAAAAAAAAAAAAAAAAAAAAAAAAAAAAAAAAAAAAAAAAAAAAAAAAAAAAAAAAAAAAAAAAAAAAAAAAAAAAAAAAAAAAAAAAAAAAAAAAAAAAAAAAAAAAAAAAAAAAAAAAAAAAAAAAAAAAAAAAAAAAAAAAAAAAAAAAAAAAAAAAAAAAAAAAAAAAAAAAAAAAAAAAAAAAAAAAAAAAAAAAAAAAAAAAAAAAAAAAAAAAAAAAAAAAAAAAAAAAAAAAAAAAAAAAAAAAAAAAAAAAAAAAAAAAAAAAAAAAAAAAAAAAAAAAAAAAAAAAAAAAAAAAAAAAAAAAAAAAAAAAAAAAAAAAAAAAAAAAAAAAAAAAAAAAAAAAAAAAAAAAAAAAAAAAAAAAAAAAAAAAAAAAAAAAAAAAAAAAAAAAAAAAAAAAAAAAAAAAAAAAAAAAAAAAAAAAAAAAAAAAAAAAAAAAAAAAAAAAAAAAAAAAAAAAAAAAAAAAAAAAAAAAAAAAAAAAAAAAAAAAAAAAAAAATCAGTAAGCGAAATTTATGTTTAAGAGCAATCTGAAGAAAACAGATCTAATAAAACTGGTGATTCTTTGACTTAGTTGCACAGACCTTACCCAAAAGTGAGAAAAACCTACTGCATGTTAGTTGTCTGTTTCCAAGACAAAGCTGTTAATGGAAACTATCCTTCCAGGAAAATGAAGACAGCAGCATTAAAAGGAAGAAAAGACAGAAACCCTTTTCAGCAACTTTTGCAACAAAAGTGGGCTATTTCCTCAGTTACACTGTAAAGTTATCCTGAAGTGCCAACTCATAGTCCCTCAAGAAGTCAAAAGATAGCAATCCCACTGCACAGTTACATCCACATAACCTCTAACTCTGAATACTGAAGTTATACTTTAAAAACCCCTTCATTTAAGCTGTTTAAAAAATAAATTAATGTTTGATGCCTTATTTTCTTTCCCCAATGTCCATTATACTCAGTAGTGTTGCAGTTCATTCAGGAATAAACTACTCTTACAACAAGTATTACAAAAAAAAAAATCAAGTAAATATTTAACATTAGGAGAATTCTGAACTTAATATTAGTTGGTACTTTAGATCAAAACTTAAGACAACATCATTAATCTTCAGGACAAAAATAAGGTAGTATGGACAACTGTCAATTTTTGTATGAGTTGTTTTAAGAACCCCAGCAGCCCAATAGGGAAGGATTCTTAATTTATAAAAAAAGACCACAACTCTGCAGTTTGCTTCTCATCTGAATCCTTATACAGAACCCACTGACTTAAACAAGACTTAATACAGGCTTGAGGGCTCCCTCAGAAAAGACAGTAGTGTCAAGGCCTTATTTCCAGTTTTAGAACAGCCTTACTGTTCAAACTCAGTTAAACATAGATTTGGAAGTACAATATAAAATGAATTTCTTAGATAATTAAAAAAAAGTTTTACAATTTTAAGAGTCCCTTGGTGATCGTTAAGTTTGAAATGGAGAAGGTTTCTAAGGTGACTGACTCTTTCTTGCTTATTACGATAAAAGAAAGGATCAACGTTACTCAGATTTCTTGCCTTCTTTCCCTCCTTTCCTCATCTTTTCTTTCTAACATACTTGTACCATTTTTACCATATTTATACATTTTCTATATATAACATCTAATTTTTTTTTTTGGGGGGGGGGGGGGAAGGTTAAATTCAAAGTCATCCTGGCTTCAGTAAGTACGATAAGGCACCTGTGTGTAAGGAAATTTGAAACATTACATGTGGTAACAAATCCTTACCTTCCCATTCAAACTCATTACTGTTCTCAGATGGAGTATCCAGGTCATCCAAATCAATCTCCCCACTCTCATCCAAGTCATCCGACAAAACTGATTCTTCACTGTGATCCAATGTTAGACTAATATCTGGAGCCATTAGTTTCTTTTTAACTTTGTTTCCATTAACCTCTAATGAATTTGGAAAATGAAGAAAAGTCTAGTTATTTTACAATCTAAAAACTGAGCACGCTTGCACATTCATAGCTATATTCATTACACCACAGTGCTGAAAATAGTGAAATTAAGTCCCTAATAAATGAACATTATCAGTTCAACCAACTGTTCATATCCCTCAAAATATGAAGCAAAATAACTTTATTGCTGTATCAATACATAAGTCCAGGATTCCAGGTCCTGTACTCTACCCCTTGTATTTCATATTGTAATAGTTTTCATGTCATCCTATTTCTCCATTACAACACTTTCTACAACCAGCAGTGTTTTCTAGTATTGTGTATTTTCCTCTTTGGCCAGAAACTGTGACCGCTATATACTGAAATACATAGTAAACTGCAGTAAATTAATGTGACAAAACAATACAACACAGCACAATCTGCTGGGACCTCAGGCGTTATCTTACATTAGAGATCAGAGAAGATTGTCTTATTTAACACTTAATAGTAACCATCCTTGAAAAATCTACAGATGAACAATTTATAAGTAATGACTGACAAAGGTTAAAGAATAACAGGTGAACTCAACATGCTCAAAGAGGTGAGGCAAATACTTGCGATTCAAAAAGAAGTTGAAAAGAAGAAACAAAATTAGTAACCGATCCAAATACCAAGCTAAATTAGACAGACAAGATCCAAGAAATCCGAAAAGTTAAGAAACAAACAAGATGTAGTACAGCATGGTAACTTAGATCCAAGCAACAGCCATATACCCTCTTTTCTCCCCCGAGATACTGTGTTTCAGTTCTAAGATCCACTGCAACCTATATTAAAAGGACATTCGGAAAGAATGCAAGATGTTCAGTAAAATTCATTCAGGTCTTAAAATTGACAGACTCATTTTTATTTGGTTTCTGTGAATTCAAGACCAGTCATGAAAATATAGTGCAATAGTTCATGTTTAGCACATACTAGCTGGCGTTCAGTTTACAGGGCTTTCAAAGCAATATATTCCATGAACCTGCTTTTCCTGGACAATAAACCTTGATAATATGTATTAAAAACAAGTATACTGATTAAGTAACTGCATACCTAAGACTGACTTTCTACCTTTTTAAAACGTTGTGCAGCTCCTTCCGTATTTCTAAGGAGGCCATTTAGGTTAGAAATAATCAGTTTGACTGAAGCTACAGATTCTTACCAGGTTGTTCCTCTCTTCCAGTTGCATCTGACGTATCTGCTTCAACATGGTCATCCTCGGGCAAGGGCCTGGTGCAGGGAGCAGAGATGCATTTCGTAAGAAATACAGCTTCAATGCACAATGTTCATTTATGAACAGGTGTACATGTCACCCGATTAGAATGTGCTTTTTAACACATAATGTGCACTTTACAAAAAGAAAGTTATGGTCCAGAGTCAGATTAATCACATTTGAGGACTCAGCTGAGCTGTCAGCAGAGCATTAGAATGGTGGAACGCTGATCTGCAGTTTCAAGCGAGTCTTACAGGCTGATATGAGAGACCCAAGTCAGTGGTTACTGTCTGCCTGTTATTACAGGCACCAGACTGTTCATTTTTTTCTTCACCCTTCAAGTCATCTCATCTTTTAACACCAAAAAAAGCAATTCACTTCGTTTTCCTATGAAGCTCAAGCAGTTCCTTAAAGGCATAAACAGTACTTCATTTATAGTTCTGACAGCTATCCTAAATTTTGGACAACTATGCTCTTAGAAGTCCTATTTTCAGACATAACTGCATGACATCATACTTTGAAACCTTCAAGATACCTATAAATAAGACAAAGCAAGAGGGTAGGAAAGTATGGGGAAAACGGTGTATTTTAGCAGAATTAACCATATTGCACAAAACAGGACGTTTCAGTGAAATGCAATGCCTTTGCCATGGCCTTGGATGAGGCAACAAAGGAAAAAGTAAAACTGAGGATTAAAATACACTTAAGTCAGTTTTAATAGAAAAATTATACACAAGTTTTCTTCTTAAGAGCTTATGCTAGTCCGTATATTTCTCTGGAAAATACACTCCTTTATTGTGAAGCATACCTCTAAGTTTCAATTTGAAATTTTCTCTCAGTACCAACAAGCAACCTCAAATTAGAACTGACATATACTTCAAGATTTCCCCTGTTTGTGCAGTCCTTTAAAGGCTTTTCAAAATGTTCCAAAGCATACTGTTCAAATTGTTTCCAACTTTGTTAACCAATGCTTATAAGCATAACATTCAGTGAACTACATTTCAGTTTTTGAAAGCATAAACAAGAACACATAAAAACTACTTAAACTCACAAAAGATACCCTGGAACCTTAACCTTACTGTACTCACCACTATTCTAAAGTACAAAATTTAAGCCAATCTCTTAGGAATGATGAGCTGTCCTTGGCATCACTAACAAAGATCCTCCCCATGCATGACAAGGCAAGTTTCAAGACCCTTTGAACAGTACTATATTATTTTTTAAATGCCTGCTGCCAATTAGTAAGTTACCTTAGGTCTCACAAACATCAAGAGGAGGAGAAAGTGGCCCATTTTGTCCCAAGGAGTATAGAAAAACAAAAAGTATGCTTTGAAGTCATGATTAAAGCTTTACCGGATCATGTTCGAAAAGAGTAACTGACTTTAATTATAGGCCCTGCTTACGAAAGAAATTATTCATTTTCATAGATTAGCAGGATAGGTATATTTTATTTTTATAAGCCATCACTTACCTGGGAAAATCTTCATCTTGCCACTCTTCCTTAAATTCAACACCTTCCATCCTCAGTCCAGCCTGAACAGTTAATACAGGTTCCTGGCAAACTAGGGCCTCGTCTTTGGAAGGAGATCAAAAAAGGGACCTGTGGGAAGGAACATCACAAAGTATTAGCTCAATAACATTGTAAAATTCCCTTGAGTACTCACAAGCTGTCATTTTCCCCTAAAGATGGTATTTAAGGAATTGCCGTGAAACTTGCAAAAGACAAATCAGTTAGGCATGACAACAGGTTCTTGTTTAACTGATCAAGCTAATAATTTCTTGTCATCCTGCTTCCAGGATCTCAATAGGAGATTATTTCTGGCATTAAACTAAAGGTTTCAGCTTTATTTCAAAATAACTATTTTAATTTGAGAGTTATTTTATTCTTAATAATTAGAAGAAAGCAGATGTTACTAATAACCATTTCAGCATATCAGCCCCACCATTGCCCCATGCTGGAAAAGAAGACAAGAACTAATAATTACCTTGACTTTTAATATTTCTAGTCACCAACGCATCAGAAATAAATACAACACCACTTATGTAGTCAACGTATTGCTTAGAAAAGTCTTAAACTTAGAGTAATTCCAAAACATACAGCAACTCAGAGCTTTAATTGTAAATGGCACGTTGAGCTTCAAAATAAATTATTCCTAACAAAGCAAGCAAATTTTGAACATAGTATCTTCATAACAGTGTCCCTTGCATGCCAGCTTTTGTAGCTTAATGTAGGGACCTCCCCCCAACCTCACCCTGACCTAAAAAACAACCACTGTTAGCTCATTAAATCTTTCAATAACACCCATCTTTGAGTTCTCTTTATAGGTTTTTTGGTAGCATCAGTCTAGATCAGGTGCTTAATTTAGACAAAAGCATCACAGAGATTTAGTCCAAAGCAAAAGAGTTACAACATCTCTGACAGTTCAGGTTTTTCAACAAGAGGTCTAAAAGATTGGTCAATTTCCAACTTCTAATAATGTTTGCAAATATGACCATCTATTTACTGCTTAACCACACATCTATCTGTGTAGCATTTATACCTTTGATTTGGCCCTGGCCCAAATCTTGGATGTGACAGTTCATTTACTAACAAGTAGTACCATATTTGCTTAAACCCCATGCAGATATGGCCCAGTGAGAACCCTATAAGGTGATACTTTGCTAAGGTCAGCTTCTTTACCCCAGAGTGAAAGCGCGGTTCACAC